GCAAGGAGTTAAGAAAATGGAAGTTGTGTTTCCTAGTTGCTTCCTGTGATAAACTTCATAAATTCAATGTCATCTTTCTTCTCCTTGGATTTTTTTGTGTGTGTGTGGATTTAGCTATACAAATAGTTTAAACCCTTAATTGTTTTCCCTGCAGAGATTACTTCTTGCTGTTTTCCCTCAATTGCCCAGGCTTTTCTTACAGAATGGAAACTAATTTTACTATAGAAACATAATATATCCTTCCCTCTCAATTTATATAATTGTTCTACTGCAGATATCTAGTTGAGGACTTTAACTTTTTTAGGACCGTTGATCCGTTTTTTGTTGTTGTTTTTTTTTTAATAGATTTTAATAGACTCTGAAATTAATACTTTAAGTTCATTTTTAAGTATGGATTTTTTAGGTTTTTGATGGACATAGTTACTCCTTTGAGGACCGAAATAGTGTCTGTCGTTCTGAAAACGAAAACATAAACATACTTAGTCCTATTGGTAAATGTGAATATCTTTGTGGTTTGCTCATATAGAAAGATGACATACAATGAATAAAACTTTATTTTTTTTTTCTGGCTGTTATGGGGATCTGAGCCTTTGACCTTGGTGTTCACCGGCCAGNCCCAACTAACTCTTAAGGGTATTGTTAAGAAATATAACTTCAATTCAAGAATTATGAACAGAACATGAACTGGTTGTTTATATCATTACATTTTGCTACCATTTGTTTCCAGAGAAGGTAAGAAAAGAGATTAAAACACACAACAATTCTAACACATGCCATTTCTCTTTTAGGTTTTGGCTTGGTTTGAAGAAGGTGAAGAAACAATTACAGCCTTTGTAGAACCTTTTGTAATTTTACTTATATTAGTAGCCAATGCAATTGTGGGTGTATGGCAGGTAAGCAAAAATTACTCCAGTGCTAAATTTTAGTAACTTACCTAAGTGATTTAAACTGCATTAATCTTTCTGTTATCTGTTTTTCCTGATTTGTTCAGTAAAAATATGTCTGTGGAAAGTCTACATGTTTTTTTTTTTTTTTTTTCTTTTGTCATTAATTTATTTAATGGCAAAATTTTAGCCCTCTCATGCATATATTGCTATTAAAATTGCTCATCCTACAGGCCAAGCCCGTGGCACACTCGGGAGAGTGCCGCTTTGTGAGTGCAACAGCGCTCTCGCCGCGGGTTTGGATCCTATATAGGGATGACCGGTGCACTCACAGCGCTCACTGGCTGAG